TACCTATACTAATTTCGCATGACTATAGTCACGCTTCAAACGCATGAATTCATACCCAAAAACCATGGGTCCACGCTTCACCATGGTTTTTCGGTATGGTTTCATGCGTTTGAAGCGTGACTATAGTCCATGCGAAATTAGTATAGGTAGTGTCATACTATTAAAGCTAGATTTTTCTCTCCGTGTAGGTGTCCTAACATTTTTTTAAGTTATGGCCAAAAAACGTTTTTTTACAAAATGAAAAATGCAAAAAAAATATAGTTAAACTTTATGAATCGGGCTGCAAATACTCTTATTTTATGTCCCCCGGGGAGACCTACAATTTAAAAAAAAAATTGAGGCCTTTAGCTCTTTCTCGTTCTGAGATATTGAGGCAAATGTAATGTTAGTACACACACACATACATATCGGGACAATTTTTTAAAATCCGTTTTTTGGACTTCTGAGATAAAATTACATAAAAGTTTTTTATATTTATTTATAACATTTATACGGGCAACGCCCATTCGTGCATAAAGTACTAAAAGATTAGGTAGGGGAGGGTGGTCCCATACCGACCCCCTTATGTTTCTTGAAGATGGTACCACTAAAAAATTCGTCAGTACCATCAGTCGAACACTTTCACAACACCAACAACTGGGCCACAGGTTTTATCAATGCGTTTGACTTTATTTTGAAGATTCAAGCAATATTTGATTTTAGCATTGTTTAAATTAATTTTTTACCTATACGGAATTCGAGGTAACAGTGTTTTTTGAATACAGGAAAATTTTTACGAAATTAATTTTGATTGTGTATGACCTTAACTTCAACGCACAACATTCAAATTAAATTGATTCCATTGATATAAGTGATTGGCAAAACATTTTGTGAAAATAGTGGGGGTGGTAATAATATTAATTCAAGTTTAACTATGTCAACATAACTTAAAGACATAAATAATATCAGAGTAAAGTTACTAATGATTCATTTATTTATCTTTTTGTTCAGAAAAAGGTCCAAAAATGTATTTAAATGAAGTCAAAATAATTTAACAGTTCATTACAGACTGTTGAATTTTATTTTAATTGTTATCAAAATTTGATATCTTGATTATTCTTGAGATTTTCCAAAAACAAATGGGGGGTCGGTTTCGGACCACCCATTTTGAAAAAGTTAAAAACGTAAATTTTCGCTTTTTCTTTAGATCTTTTATTAATGACAATCAGAAACCTCGGTAACCGTCAGAAAACATTAAAAAATAGTTCCTTTACTGAAAAAAATTTTGACGAAGACAAAGAAACACATTTTTGGCACATTTTTAGCCTTTGCACTTTAGGGGGTCGGTATGGGACCACCCTCCCCTATAATGAAAAAAAGTTTGTAAATATGTCAAAAAATCACAATCAAAAATTTTGCTAATACAATCCTTCCTCTATGAGGAAAATGTTGAATAAGCTTATTATTCAAAACAGGACATTTTAGGCAAGAACCAGGACGTCTCAAATTTTTTCGAAAATCAGGCAGGACATGTCCCGGAGAACCAGGACGTCTGGTCACCCTAGGCGGACACATTTTTAAAAAAACTGCGATTTTGCATTATTTTTTCATATTTGATCTCTTGTAAAAATCTCTATTGTTAACAATTTTATCATATTATAGGTATAACCCTAGTAGAATTTAGTTACCTTTAATTAGCCGCAAACCCGAAGTTGATTGATTAAATAGTTTAGACGCTACGATTGCCCACCAGTTTGAAAAATCTTGTTTCGAGAAAAACGCGTTAAAAGTTTTAGAAACATTTTTGTGCAATAATTGTATTCTTTGCAATTCTTTGCTCAATTTGCATATATGATGAATATCTGTAGGTATTTAGGGTCGCTCTTAACGATTCTGAGGTCAGATTTGCAAAATTTTTAAAAATCGATTCGATTTGCCTGACATTTGTTACTGAGTGCTCGGGACGCAGGTAAGTTCAAGACCCCATAAAAACGAAAATATTCTTCGGATCAAAAAATCGCTATACATACATATTCTACATACCTATATATATAGCTTTCAAAAAATACAATAAAAAAGAAATCAATTTTTCGATGCGATTTTCCCATTGAAGCTCAATGCAAAAATCCAATCCACTTTGACACCGCCTTAAAGTCTATGAAAGCGGTATAGACGACATTACCCGAAGAATTTAAATAAATTTGAATGATAGCTGACAGACTGAATCTATTGTCAAGGCAGCTTCTGCCTCTTCTAAATCCTGCCTGGCTTTTGGAACTTTTTCGTGTGTTAAAATTTTATTGAAAAGGTTATTTATATACAAAACTTAATGCTGTGGTAAGTTTTAAAAAAAATTAAAATTAATACTGTCTGAACCCGGGTCACAGTGGGACAAAACGCTCATTTTTCGTTCAAAAAAGTCTAGCCCTCTTGTCTATCTTGACCGATTTAAAACCTTTTATTTTGAATGAAAGATTATAACATTTTTAAGGAGACTGTGGTCTTATTTTTAAAAAAACAAACCATTATTGTTATTGTTTATTTTTTGCAATAGTGTGAAAAATAATAGAAATAATTTTTTTTTTCGTGTAAGCAATTGATAATAATTGACGTAAAATGCTTTGAATCATCAAAGAGACTCTTCTAACAACAAAGTTGTAAATAATTAGTTTTTGCAAGTTTTTAATAATTATAAAAAGATTGTTATAAACAATTTGGCATCTGGAATAAAGAGAATCTTTTCTTCATTGTGCTTGAAACTTGTTACTCGGGGTTTTTTGGGGTAGCTGATTTTAAATTTGAAGTCCGTTTTCAAAAATTCAAAATTGGAATTGTTAATTAATAATTTTTCTTTATTCTGATTGTCCGATTTAGCCTTTTGTTTAAAAACAAGTGATATACTGATTTAAATGTACAAGAATCTTATGTGCTAAGTCTGTATTTGCATGAATATTTGTAGCCTGTTTTATTAACTGTATATTTATATATGAGCTTTTTGTCAATTCAGATCCGTATATCGCTTATCTTAGACAAAAAGCTATTGAAAGTAAACAATCAGAATAAACAAAAATCGTCACTTAACAATTCCAATTAATTTTTCATTTGCAATATTGAATCAGCCATTTTGAATTTTTGAAAAAAGACTTCAAATTCGAAATCAGCGATCCCAAATACCCCCGAGTAATAAGTATCAAGCAAAATGAAGAAAAGATTCTCTATAATTCAGAAATTTTGTCAAATTGTTTATAACAATATTTTTATAATTATTAAAAACTTGTAAAAACTAATTATTTACAACTTGAAAGAGTCTCTTTGATGGTTCAAAGCATTTTACGTCACTTATCAATTATTTACACGAAATTAAAATAAAATTTTATTTCTATTATTTTTTACATTATTGCGAAAAATTAACAATAACAATAATGTATATTGTGATGTTATTTTGTTTAGATTTATAATTTTAGTGTGATCTTATAGTGTTTGATAAATACCTATCAAAAAAGTTATTATAGAAACACTGACTCCCATGTTAAAAATAGTTTTGAATTCATTAATAAAAATAGAAATTTAAAAATTCCGGGCTAATTCATTTTTAAATTAATTAAATTTTCTTTATTTTCATTTTTGAAATTACCGACTAAACAGTTTTCTTCATTATCATACTTCGAATGTGCTTAAGGGGATCCCACTTATCGACATTGCAGATCTAAAATGATTAAAAATCTGCAACGACCGTTTCTTGGAAAATATAAGATATTATTACCTATAAATTTGGAAAACTCATTTTTTATCATGAATACACAGGATGAGTATTTTATTTGTTGTAATTATTTGAAAAAAATTATCGTTAGAAAGTTAAATATGGGCAGTTTCCCTGTAACACATCTTTGACTATTAGCTCAAACTGCAACGACCATTTCTCGAAAACAACGAAACAAAATAATTTTTCCATTTGGGAAATTTAATTTTGTAGGAAAATACGGAGGATGAGACTCATTTGCCATTCAGGAATAAATAAAAACTTTATTTTTTGTAAAGTGTATATGTGACAGCTGTTCGGTGGCACTTGATATTTAATTTACTAGCATTAACTTTTCTTTAACAATTTGAACAAAATAAATGTCTCTCATTGTGTGTCTTTCATCACTAATGAATTAATACTCGAAAAGAAAACATTATATTTTATTGTTGCTAATTTAAAGCTAAAAATAATCAAAATTGGTCAGTTTTGGAACCTTTGGCGCCATCTCTTGGTTCTATGAACAACTAAAAGCTGTCACATGTGTTCTTCTTGTTGTAAATTGCTATACAAAACACTTTACATAAATTAAAGTTTTTTATTGTTGTTTTCATATGTAATGAATCTTATTATGTGTATTTTTTATTAAAATTAAGTTTGCTAAATGGAAAAATTATTTTGTTTTGTTGTTTTCAAGAAAAGTTCGTTGCAGTTTGGGCTCTTGGAAACTGACCATATTTAATTTTCTAACAATATATTTTTTTTAATAATTACAACAAATAAAATACTCATCCTATGTATTTATAATAAAAAATGACTTTCACAAATTTATAGGTCATAATTCCTTATATTTTTCAAGAAACGGTCGTTGCAGATTTTTAACCATTTTTGATCTGCATTGTCGGTATGTGGGTGGAGCGTTCAGGCTGGAGTCCCATGGTAGCGTTTTGCGTTGCGTTTTGTAACTAGGCAATGAGTGCAAATAGAGCAAACCTATATCTGTATCTCTCTCACACTCATGGCCTAGTTACAAAACGCAAAACGCTATCATGGGACTCCAGGCTCAGACCTCTGCAGCCTGCAGGTAAAAAAACATTGTATTTAAAAAAAACCTAATATTTTGTTTATAAATTTGTTTACATTTGGGAGTTAAAGAGCTAAAATCGGGGATAACCCTTATTGGAAGTACACCCCCAAAAGTAGAAATACTCTCTATTCCAGATGTTCACTTTCTTTTTAAGTCTATATAAAAGTGTTAAAAGTTTGATTATTTAATTTGCAGATTTTTAAAACAAGAAAACGATGGCTGCCGATAAAGTGACTTTGGGAGATGCTTTATCAAATGTTGACGTTCTTGACGAATTTACTTTACCTGATGAACAACCATGTATTGAAGCCCAACCCTGTTCCGTTGTTTATCAAGCCAATTTTGATACAAACTTCGAAGACCGCAATGGATTTGTTACTGGCATTGCTAAATATATTGAGGAAGCAACTGTTCACGCAAGTTTGGTCAGTATTTTAATTTATATTTTACATTTACAGTCAGCAAACAATGTCTACTGAATTATATTCATTAGTTGAAAAGATTAATAATTTTCCCCTTCATTTTTTAAAGTTTTCTGTTTCAAGTCAAATTTCGATTAGAGTAGAGAAGAGGATTTGCATTTCCCAAGAACAGATTTTTTTTATTTGAGAGATCATTAAATGATTTAGGAGTTGCTTGACAGATTGGCCAACTTTGCATGGATTTGTCCTTTTCATGAGAATCACACGTATATACATATTTCAATTAAATTTTGTTTACAGAATGAACTTTTGGAAGAAGGATTGGAACATGCAGTAATGCTTTACACTTGGAGGTGTTGCTCTAGAGCAATACCACAACCTAAATCTAATGAACAGCCAAACAGAGTTGAAATTTACGAAAAAACTGTTGAGGTTTTAGCGCCTGAAGTGAATAAATTATTGAATTTCATGTATTTCCAGGTAACATGAAAATTAATTCTTTATTATGATATTTTAGTAATATGAATTTTGTAAAATATTTTAATTAAATGTTTAATTGTCGTATTACTTAGTAAATGATTATTATTTTACAGCGCAAAGCTATTGAACGATTTTCAGCAGAAGTTAAGAGATTGTGTCATCATGAGAAAAGAAAAGATTTTGTTTCAGAAGCTTATCTCTTAACTTTGGGAAAATTTATTAATATGTTCGCTGTCCTCGACGAACTAAAGAATATGAAATCTAGTGTTAAAAATGATTATTCGACATACAGAAGGTAAACTTGTATTAAGAAATATTTAACTCTATATCAAATAATTGAATTAATATTTATTATTTTTAGAGCGGCTCAGTTTTTAAAAGTAATGTCAGATTCTCAAACCCTTCAAGAATCTCAAAATCTGTCAATGTTTCTCGCAACTCAAAATAAAATTCGTGATACAGTAAAGGAAAATTTAGAAAAAATTACAGGTTACGAAGATCTTCTAGCGGATGTTGTAAACATATGTGTTCACATGTTTGAAACAAAAATGTACCTAACTCCTAACGAGAAACATATGTTAGTTAAAGTCATGGGGTTTGGTCTATTTCTCATGGACAGTGAATTGTGCAATATTAACAAATTGGACCAGAAGAAGAAGGTAAAACTGGAAAGAATTGATAGAATTTTTAAAAATCTAGAAGTTGTGCCCCTATTTGGAGATATGCAAATTGCACCTTTTAATTATATAAAGAGGTCAAAGCATTTTGATGCCTCCAAATGGCCTATGTCTTCTTCCTCAAATAGCATAAGTCCACAAGCAGATTTAATGGTCCATCTTCCACAAATTAGAGAAGATCATGTTAAATACATAAGCGAATTAGCAAGGTAAATATTCCTCCATAATTATCCAATACCGTCGAAAATATCAACGATCTTATAAATTTTTATAATACATACGCTACTAAAAATTAAATATTCTTATTCACCCAGATATAGTAATGAAGTAACTACAACGTACAAAGAATGCGGAAGTGATTCAGAAAATAGAGAAACTGCTGAACTTGCGTTACGAGGACTCCAATTATTGTCACAATGGACAAGTGTTGTTACAGAACTTTATAGTTGGAAATTGTTGCACCCGACAGATCATCATATGAACAAAGAATGTCCACAAGAAGCTGAGGAATATGAAAGAGTATGTTCAATTATCATATTTGCTTTTTTCTCAATTTTATTTACCTTACTGCTTCTTCATAAAAGATTCATGAAAATTCTCGTTTAAAGACATTGGGCAAAATATAGTGCTTTTGAAAAATACATCACATTTAAAAAGAAATGAATATTTTGGGTTGGAGTTTTTTGGATATAATAATAATAAATGTTTATTGTTTTAAAATTCTGAGAATTCATACAATAGGAAAGCCATTAAAATGGCCTTTTATAGAGTAAATAAAATTGTTTCCATTATTATCCATTCTAACACAATTATAAATTCTAATTTGCAACCAATCACATACCCCAAACATACACACACATCACTACAATTAAAATATTATACATATTAATTTGTTATAACAATACATTTCTCGCTCTAAGTACACTTATAATATACTTTCCGAATGTTAAAAGTTTATTTTTTGCTTTAGAGGTCAACAGATCCATCCAAAACTGACCATTCAAGAAATTCGTCTGTGCTTTATTAAAAGTTTCAATCCGCAATCCAAAATAGAAGGGGCATATTGCCAATATAATTTATTGGCAAAATTATGAAATACGTCTTCCTTTTCCCCCAGACCGCAGATTGAACATACGCGAGTAGAGTCAATTGGAAAACTTTCCTTCCCGTATTTTATTCTGTGGGGTCTATTTAAGCTTAGTCTGATTTGACTAATTATTCTGACTACAGACATAGATAACCCAGAGTTAAGGTAAAAAGGGGTCTCTCTTTCAGCCGCCAGATAAGGGAGGATCTCACGGTTCGCCGGAAAGGTGTTTTATACAAATTTTCAAGTACCTCCGATTTTCTTTTTGTAGATGATAGTTCAAGATGCCAGGAAGTCAACCCAAAAGTTTTTAAAATCGAAAACAAATGCCCCACCCCTTCAAAACAGCATAAAACCAATAAAAATTCGTTTTTACATAAAAAACAAATATCTTGCACTTTTATATTGACGAGTATCTCAGATTTCTTCGTGTAAATAGTACTTCTGGATGCTAGAAAGTTATTGTAATAGTTTTTCTAAAATAAAAAAGCATTTCTTATCCTTGAAACAGCATAAAACTAGTAAAAGAAAAAATTCATACACTGGGGTCAAAAAGTTTCAGTACATTTGTACTAATTACTTTTAAATGCTCGCTTCACTTAAAATTCAAATATTTCTGTAAAAATAGATGTTAGAGTTATCAAACTAGGATCATTTTAAAGTTCAATAAATTTAGAGTCAAATAGGCTAAGACATAACCAATTTAATAGTGTAAATATTAAAAAAATAATTGTTTAAAGTTAGAGATTTTTTGTGAAAATTGCGATTTTAAAATCTAGAATTCAAGCGCACGCCAATTGAAGAAAAATTTTTTTTAAGATTTAATAGTTGCACAATATTAAGTATAAATTCAATTCTTTAATTCTAGATTTTTTTTTTTTAGATTTTTTTTTTTATGCACCTTTTTGTTATTGTAAACTAAAAAAATAGTCACCTGGAAAGAATATAAGGAATAATGATTGAGTTAAAATTTGTAAAACTATAAAAAGAGGGATAAATTTCATGTAAATATCTTAAATTTTCTAAGATGAAGAGGTTCTATATTTTTCAAAAGTGTGGTTATTTGATAGAACAAGTGAATGAAAACGACAAATTTGCAATTTATATTCTTCGAAAAATTTAGAGCAAGAGATATTATTTTTATAGAATTTGAAAAAAATACTTAATATATGTGAATGATTTTGGTCTAGAATTAAAGAATGAAATTTGTACTTTTTATTGTGCAACTATCAAAACTTAAAAAAAATTTTCTTCAATTGGCGTACGCTTGAATTCTAGATTTCAAAATCGCAATTTTCACAAAAAATCTGTAACTTTAAAGAATTATATTTTTAATATTTACACTATTAAATTGGTTTAATCTTATCCTATTTGACTCCAAATTTATTGAACTTTAAAATGATCCTACTTTGATAGCTCTTACATCTATTTTTACAGAAATATTTGAATTTAAAGTGAAGCGTGCACTTAACAATAATCGGTACAAATGTACTAAAACTTTTTGACCCCAGTGTATTTTTCGTGAAGATTGTGGTATTGTTATAAATTATTAGAGTTGTGCAAAAAGCTCGAGGCTCGAGCGAGCTTTTCATTTTTCGGGCCGAGCCGAGCCGAGCCTAATCAGTTCGAGCTCGAGCCGAGTTCGAGCCGAGCCGAGCTGTGTAAAAAGCTCGAATAGTTTCGAGTACTCGAGTTAATTCGAGTACTCGAATTTTTCGAGCACTCGAGGGAATTCGAGTACTCGAATTTTTTCGAGCTCTGAGTAAATTCGAGTTCTAGAGAAAATTCATAGAATTTTCGCATTTATTATATTTAGCAAATAGAAATATTGATTCAGTAATTCAAAAAAATTCGAAATTTTTTACTTATTAATAGTTTTTTTAGTAAGTCAAAAGCTCGAATCCATTCGAGTACTCGAAAAATTCGAGTACTCGAATTCACTCGAGTGCTCGAATTTAATCGAGTACTCGAATTTACCCGAGTACTCGAATTTTTCGAGTACTCGAAGTCACTCGAGTACTCGAAAATTTCGAGTACTCGATACATCGAGCCGACTCGGGCTCGGCTCGGCTCGGCCCGAAAAAATTTCGGCTCGGCTCGGCTCGACTTTTCGAGCTTTTTGCACATCTCTATAAATTATAAAGCGAACGTTATCTGTTTATTAACCTTTAATTTAACCTATGTTCATGTTGATATTGCACTCGATGTGGTACTAATGTCGTGTTTAGTGTCAAAGCTATATTGAAGATCAATGTAAGTTCATATTTTATTGCTCACTATTTTTTTCAGGAAAATTTACTCTTTAGTTTATCATAGTATTTCTCTAAGTCAACTTATAATTTATTAATTTTGTATATTTCAGTAAGTGCAAGAAGATATCGATAAAATAAGTTTTCAAACCTTAGAATGGAAAAAATTGTTAAGGAAAGAAAAAGAAAGAAGGATTTATACACACACGAGAAAAATCGTTTAAAGATATGTTTTTTCTGTTTGAGAAAAGTTACTCTTATTTGTGAAATTAAAGCGGTTCTAAAGGATAAGATAATTTCGGCATTTCCAACATTTTGCTCTAAAAATGACATATACGATAGCCGATTTCCAGCTGTCATCTGCTGTGCTTGTAAAACAAAACTTTACAAAAAACTTGCTGGAAAGCAAATGGAAAACTTTAAAATTCCTGATGAATACAAAAATTTTTTTGAAACCAGGAAAGTAATCACTAGATCCACTATGATTCAAGAAACATGTGGCTGTAAATTGTGCAAAATTATTTTGGATTATAATATTACTCAAAAGAATTTATTGTCGAAAAAATCTACGGAGAAATGTTATAACAGTAAGAGGGTGATTGAACGTCGGTGCTCTAAATGGTTTAATTTTATTGGCAGAGGAATAAAACACGATTGTAATTCAGACAGTAAGAAAAAAAATTTGGCAGAAGCTATCAACGACAAGTTCAGTAAGAAACAAAAAGATCATTTAGTTATCGATATTTTAAAAGAAAATTTTAAATTCAAAGAGGAGTCAAAAGATTATAGTCGTAGAAAAAATGTCGGGATATCTTTGCGGACAAGACAAGGACGGGAAACGAAAATTGTTTACAATCCCGTGGAACAATCAAAAACACTTATATCTGCAGAAACGTTAAGTAATATCCAAATTGAACTTGGTTTAAGTGACAATAAAACACGTAAGCTAGCTAGCACAATTCGTAGAAGTAGTGGAACACGCAAAAGTGTTAAATCGTGTGCTACAAATAAGATACAAGAAAAAAGCCATGTACTTAACGATTTTTTTTAAATCAAGGAATTTGATTTTGTAAACATTTTAAAAAATAAAAAAACTCTTGTCAAATCAGTAGCAGGTGTTTGTAACAATTTAAAAGAATTCGCTGATTTTGTCGCCCAAGAACGTGGAATTTCCGACTATAAACTCAAAATTGGACTCGACGGTGGCAATTTATTTTTCAAAGTTTGTTTGTCAATTTAGGCCAATGATCATGCTGATAAAGAAAACAGCGGATTAAGAAAAATTTATAAGGACTCAGGAGTCAAAAAAATTTTTTTAATCGCCACGGCTGAAAAAGTGCAGGAAAATTACAAAAACGTTAGACTATTATGGGAGGAACTGAATATTAACGAATGTTTAGATTTTGTTGCAACAGACCTTAAACTTGCTAATATAATAACCGTATTGATGCAACATTCTTCCGCACATCCTTGTACGTGGTGCGATCAACAGTCAGATTTGTTGGATTCATGTGGGGAGTACCCTACCATTGGCAGTTGTGTAGCAAATTATGAAGCGTGGCTAAGGGATGGAAAAAAAATCTTCTAGAGCTAAATTGTTCATAAATTGTATAAATTATCCACTTTTTTGGAATGAAAACAACGGCGACACTCTTATTCTTGACCTCATACGACCGCCAGAGCTTCATCTACTCTTATTAATTGTCTCTTAGGAGCAGTAAAAACAATTTACAATCATATGGCTAAAAATTTCGAAGATATAAGTATTAACTGGGCTGTAATATAGTTCTACTTTATCCCTATATGTGTCACTACTATAGAAGTGGGGGGGCATGCAAAAAGTCCGCTTGACGACTGCTCAGGCCGCAGTCCCATGGCGGCGTTTTGCGTTGCGTTGTAATGAGAGAGAATGCAGCAAACGTATATTTGCGTCTTTTTCTCTCCCATTACGACGCAACGCAAAACGCTGTCATGGGACTCCACCCTCAGTAATAAGCGAGATTCTCAGTTAGTCACACCTTTCCCAACTTATGTATTATCATCAAATATATCAATTATTCACATAAGTAATTCTGGTCTTATTTCACGACACCACATATTGGCGACGAGGATAAAAAGAGTCTAAGTACGTAAATTGTGAGTTCCGGTAATAAAAGTGCCTTTAAAGTTGGATTTATCGAGAACGCGTCACACACAAAATGTCGGAGGAATTCAAGGCCAAGCTTGCTGAAGCCACCACTAGACAAGCTGAACTTCAGATAACAATTGACAGACTTAGAGTGGAAAGGAGTGAACATCGAGACAAAGCTAATCGACCATCGGGCACATGAGCGAATTTCAAATCGGTGATGATTGGACAATTTATCAAGATCGTCTAAATCAATACTTTATCGCGAATAATGTGACCCAACCGGATCGAAAAGTAGCAGTTTTTGTTACGCTTATCGGACATGACGCGTATAAATCCCTCAAAAACTTGTGCGACCCGGATTTACCATCCAGTAAAACTTACGATGAGCTTTGCACTATTTTAAAAAGCCAGTTCTCGAAGCGTGTATCGGTACTGCGCGAACGAACGGAGTTTTACGAGCTCAAGCAAAATGAGCACGAATCGGTAAACAATTGGTTTATTCGTATGAAAAGTAAAGCCGCGACGTGCGGATTTGGTGCCCTATTAGATAGTGTCATTAAAGACAAATTAGTGACTGGTCTTCGAAAAGGTCCTGTTTTGGATAGAGTGTGCGAAGAAGATCACACCAAAAATCTTTCGGAAATTTTGGAGATCGCGAGAAAAAAAGAAGCTTCGGTTTTAAATTCAAAAAATATGAATTCAGTTTTTAATGTCAATCCCAAAACAAACAAAGGTTTTAATAAAAAGGACAACTCGAAAAACAAAGATAACACCTTAGACAAAGTGACGAACAAAAACAATACAAGCAATCCATCTTGTAAACATTGCGGTGGAAACAGTCATCATTTTAGGAAGTGTAAATATCGAAGTTTTAAATGTAACAAGTGCGGCAAGACGGGACACTTAGCTAAAATTTGCAGATCAAACGATAAACGCGACGATAAAAATTATTTAGTCGAAGACAACGAGTGTAGTTCCATGCTCGACTGTGAAAATCTCTATTCGCTGGAGGGGAGTAGTGAACCGTTTCTGGTCGACATTTTCATTGGCGAAGAACAAATCAGGGCGGAGATTGATTCCGGCGCTGGTAGGTCCGTCATCCCTGAATCGGTATATCGAAATCAGCTGTCCATGCATAGACTGAATCCAGTCAAAACAACACTCAGATTATACAATGGAACCGTGATTCACCCCCTTGGTGAAATATCAGTGAAACTCGCTGCCCGAGACAAACTCGCTACCGCAAATCTACTGGTCGTCAAAGGAGGATGCCGAATGTTAATAGGCAGATACCTGATGACTCATCTCGGATATCAGATGATTCAAGTAAACACGATCGACACGAGCGATAACCTACAAAGCTTGTTACAAGAATATGAACCACTCTTCGAAGAAACTCCCGGGAAATATAAATTCGAGGAAGTCGACATGAAGATCCAACCGGACTTCAAACCCATTTTTCACAAGCCTCGACCAGTTCCTATCGCATTCAAATCAGAAATGGATCGTCAGTTGGATGAAATGGAAAGTCAAGGAAAAATTGAACCGATTGACAACGCGGAGTGGGGGACACCTCTAGTGCCTGTATTACAAAAAGACGTGAAGTATCCTACGCCTAGGATCGAGGAACTTTTTGCCTTATTATCGGGCGGAGAGAAATATACCAGGATGGACATGGCACAGGCCTTCAATCAACTCGCAGTCACCGAGGAAACTTCAAGACTATTGGCATGGAGCACGCACAAAGGAATCTACAAGGTAAACAGAATCCCCTTCGGTCCAAAAACTGCAACGGCAATTTTTCAACGGATAATTGAAAAAACACTACAAGGAATCCCGGGAACAGCTATCTTCTGCGACGATGTAGTCGTCACAGGAAAAACAACAAAAGAACATCTACAAAATGTCCGCGAAGTGTTCAAAAGATTGTTAAATGCCGGTTTTAAATTGAACCTCAAAAAGTGTAAATTTTTCCAGGACGAAGTTCGATATTTGGGACACATCATCGACCGCCATGGTCTACGAAAAGATCCGGAAAAAGTTGCTGTAATCATAGAAGCCAGAGCACCGGAGAATGCAACGGAATTGAAAGCCTTCCTCGGGATGTTCAACTACTACGCGAAATTTGTTCCGAACAGCAGTCAACTCCTCAAACCGCTCTACGAATTGGCAAATCAACCCAAATTTTCCTGGACCAAAAAAGAAGAGGAAATCTTCAAACAAGCGAAATTAAAGATCGCTTCGGATCGGATTGAAATGTACTAGTACATTTCAATCCAGATCTCAAAATCAAATTGGTTTGCGACGCATCCAAGGACGGACTCGGCTCAGTTCTGTTCCACATTTTCCCGAATGGCGAGGAAAAACCGGTTGCATTCGCCTCTCGCGTTTTGAGAAATTCTGAAAAAAATTACTCCGTGATCCATAAGGAAGCACTCGCAATATACTGGTCAGTGCAAAAATTTTACCAATATTTAATGGGCAATAAATTCATTTTATGCTCAGACCACAAACCTTTACTCGCGCTCTTCGGTGAGCAGAAGGGAATTCCACAGATGGCCGCAGGAAGATTACAACGTTGGGCGCTATTTTTATCGTGGTTCGACTACACTCTTTAATACCTGAAAGGAGAGGACAATGGTACCGCTGACGGACTGTCAAGATTACCCAGACCTGTGATTGCACCAGCAGAGGAATCAAAGGACTACTTCAATTTCATCGTGGAGGACAAACTTCCCATCAACGCCAAGGATTTGAGAATGCAGCTTCGCAGAGATCCAATATTGAGCAAAGTGTTTTTATACATTCAAAACGAGTGGCCCAGCGAGATCGAGCCAGAATTGAAACCCTTTTCAATCAGAGCAAGTGAACTCAGCATCGATGATGATCTTCTCATGTGGGGATATCGAGTAATTGTTCCAGCCAAGTTTAGACATCATCTGCTGGAAGAAATTCACCAAGGTCACATCGGAATCGCTAAAATGAAATCATTGGCTCGCCAATATTTCTGGTGGCCCAAACTGGACGCAGACATCGTGAATTTCGGCAAAAGTTGCTCCTCGTGCAAATCACAAGCGAGGAATCCGGAAAAAGCCGAGCTAATCAAATTCAAGGAAGCTGAATATCTTTTCGAGCGTATACACCTGGATTTTTTAGGCCCCTTCCACGGCAAAACCTACCTGCTGCTGATCGACGCCTACTCCAGATGGCCGGAAGTGATTGAAATGCGGAAAACTGATTCAAAATCAACCATTGACGTACTACGAGAAATATTTTCAAGATATGGAATTCCGAAACTTCTCATATCCGACAATGGACGACAATTAATCTCCGAGGAATTCGAGAAATTCTGCAAACTAAACGGAATCATCCACAGGACCACAGCTCCATATCATCCGTCAACGAATGACTTAGCTGAAAATGCTGTAGGCAGCTTCAAACAAGGAATCAACAAGGCGCTCCACAATCAAGAAATCACTCCAACAAATCAAAAAACTGCTGTTACCAAATATCTTTTTGCATACAGAAATGCACCGCATTGTTCATCGGGAATCTCGCCAGCCAAAAGATTCTTGGGAAGAGAATTGCGAAATCGACTGGACTTGCTCAGAGCGAAAAGAACAGATTCAGCATCACACAACCAAGTGAAATCGTTTCGAGGAAAAAGGGACATCTCATTTGAAGAAGGTGAAAAAGTGTGGGTGAGAGATTACAAGAATCCAATGAAGCCTTCTTGGTCAACAGCAACAATAAAAAAAGTTCTGGGTGATAGAACTTTTCTCTGCAACCCGGAATCAGCTGATCCATCTCTCATTTGGAAACGACACACAGACCAAATCACCAAATTGGATTCTCTCAAATTTGATAATTCGGAACCAGCGGGACCTGAAAATCTTCAAGAAGATGACATCATTCAACCTGAGGGGGAAGGAGATCAACAGAGTGCTCAACCCAGCGAATCATCCGCGAAATTCAATTCGTCAGTGTTGTGTCCGGAAGTCGTAAATAAAAAATATGTTAAAATCAATGATCAAAAAATCAATCCCGGTAGTGATTCAGTTTATCATTCACCAAGGTCAATTTCGAGAAAAAGTTTTAATTCCGCGACAAAAGTGTCAAATGAAAATTCAAAAGAAACTCAAGACAATAAAAAGACTTATTTCAACGTGAATCAACGACCGAAAAGAATGATAAAACCCATTGATCGCTTAAAATATAAAAAAAATATAATTTGTAAACTTAAAAGGGAAGGAATGTAATATAGTTCTACTTTATCCCTATATGTGTCACTACTATAGAAGTGGGGGGCATGCAAAAAGTCCGCTTGACGACTGCTCAGTAATAAGCGAGATTCTCAGTTAGTCACACCTTTCCCAACTTATGTATTATCATCAAATATATCAATTATTCACATAAGTAATTCTGGTCTTATTTCACGACACCACATGGGCTAAATTTTGCTATGTAGAAAAATCAATCACATATGGCAATGCTGGATTTAATGGAAATGCTTGTGCCAAGCTTCTTCGCAACGTTAGTTATTTGCGGCAAATCTTACCAATCAATTGTCTTAAGTACGTTACAACATTTGATTTCCTCAAAAAAGTCGTTGATGGATGTTTTTCCAACCATCTTGATTCAAATTATGAGTCATACATTGAAAATTTTAAACAAAGTCTGAAGGATTCTGACATACGTTTAACTCCAAAATTGCATGGAATTACAGAACATGTTCCACATTTTTGTCAAAAATACCAAATGGGATTGGGATTTTTCTCAGAGCAGGCAGTGGAATCCTCCGACCACGATTTTTCCGAAATCTGGGGTTTTCACAAGATATCTAAAAATCAAGAAGATTACGCAGCCAAACTTCTTTGTGCTGTATGTGTATACAACGCCCGCTACGTCAATTGAATTACCCATTGTAAAATAGGTTTAACTTCAAATCTATTTTAATGTATAGTTTCTTTCAGCAATTTTATTTTATATTTAACATTAAAATGTTTACCATTAAAATAAAAATAATAAATTTCTTCCTATATATGTTTTTTATGTAAAAATGAATTTTTTTCATTTTTTATTGATTTTATGCTGTTTTGAAGGGGTGGAGCATTTGTTTTTGATTTAAAAACTATTGGACTGACTTCCTAGTATCTCGAACTATCATCCACAAAAAGAAAATCGGAGGTACCTGAAAATTTATATAAAACATCTTTACGGCGAACCGTGAACTGCAGACTCTACGAGCACTCCAACCTCTCTCTGTCCGAATTTTTGAGAAACCCTTCACACGTCTCTAAGATCCTAGATCTTTCCGTTATTAAAACCCCCAAATCCAACAGATTTTTATTTTCCTTGTATCCCAGATTTCTGATTAACCATTCCAGTTTTAATGCTTAATTATACCTTTGAGTAACCGTTTTTCCCTGTTTGACAGTTCGAATATTCTATTACAACAAATTTTGGGGTAACGGTTAACTATCATATCACGAATCCTTTCTAACCATTTAAAAATTTACTTCAGGACTCGGAAAGACATCTGACCCCTTCTTGTCTCCCCTCTTACAGCGTTGCCCGGCGTGCTTTTTGGTAACATTAAGATCTTTTTAAAGAATGTTGTTTGGATTTTTTCCAGATCATGCAAATAAGTAGAACCCCAAACTTCCACCTCATAAAATGCAACCGATTTTATCATAGAGTCGAATAGTCTGCTCTTTGGTTCCCAAGTATCGGACTATTTGCAGACGCGAGTGCTTTATTTGCTGCCGTTCTAAAAACACCCGAACTTGTAAAATGTGTACCCAGATATATATAATCATTGACAATTTCAACTTTACTTTTCCCATAAGGAAATGAGTATTTCTTTCTTCGCCCCCCTTCTGAAACATGAGTATTTTAGATTTTTTGAGATTGACTATTCAATCCTTTTCTCTACAATATTTACAAAGAATATTCAACTTTCTTTGAAGGTCACTAGGCGAATAAGCTAGAATTACTATATCGCCTGCATATGCTATAAATATTATTTCGTTTTCTTTAACAAATCGATACTAGCGGATCGCTATAGAAGCTTGCTCATATAAATTTTTACACACTCTCACAAATTTCGAACTTAGACCCATACCGAACAAACTACTCCATAGTTTATTATGGTTAACTGAAGGGAACTCACCCTCAATATCCACAAAAAAGGCAAACAGTTTTTCTTTTTTCCTACTCAGGTGTATCTGAATCATTGAACTCAACACAAAAATGTTGTCCAGGCAGCTTCGTTTCTCCCTGAATCCCGGTTGAAATTCAGGGAGAATCTCTGTTTTTCTGCCCACGACTTTAGCCTCTTATTTAGTATTTGTGTAAAAACTTTAGCTGTTGAGTTCATGAGTGCTATACACCTATAGCTTTCGGGAACAGACCTGTCATCGTTCTTGTGGATCATAGATGCATGCGATTGTCCCCAGGCTTAAGGAATTAACTCCGAACTTAATACCTGATTAAATAACTGTAACAAATACAGAAGCCAATTTGACGGTAGATTTTTTAAAAACTCGTAAGGCATCCCATCAGGACCAGGCGATTTACCATTTTTGCATTCTCTAATAACCAACACTAATTCACCATAAGATATTTCCGAATCCAGCAAGGGATGTCTCGCGTCATACAAATTTACATCAAATGTCATTCTCGGTGGATACAATGTTTCTAACTATTTATTCCATACTTCCATTTCAATGTTCGGTCCACATGTAAAACAGGCCGGATTATCACCTCGTGTTCTACCATTCAATAACAAAAAGGCACGTTCCTCGAAGAATTACATCAATAATCGACCTCTTATATTAATTTTTTGTCCATAGTTTCTCTTGTCCTCATTAAATTCGCGCATGCACTCTCCATAATCGTTTCATCTTCCTGGTTCAGTTCCCCCACTCTTCCATTGAAGTCACCCACACAATTATCGGAACTTCAATGTTTAATTTTTCTACTTGACTAAGAGCAAACTCAAGGGATTCACACCATTGAACATCCGTTAAGCTAGGACTAAAGTATACTGAACCTATAATATATTTTTGATTATCTCTCGTAATTAACATAAACATGCAGCATTCATTCTGAAAAATCATGCGAGAACTTACATAATCTTTTCTGGTAAAAATGCATAACCCACCCCTGGGTCTTCCTAAAGCAAATTTTCGGGTAGCATTACTAGATTGAATATTAAATTTACTTAGCCATTCTGGTAAGAATCTCGGGAGTTGAGTCAGCCATGTTTC